TATATATTACATATATGTATATATGATAAATATATCAAAAATGCATGTGGGTACTCAAATGAAAGTTCTTGATGAGTGTAACACCGGGATGAGCTTATATCTTTAAAAATGTCAATATCTAAGAAAGTACTGTGCAATTTAATAAAAGTCATTATTTAATAAAACAAAAAAAATTTTTTTAATTATTTCAGGATTGAACCACGAGCAAAATATGAAAAAAATGCGTCTATTAACATTCATGCAGCTGGCTGAAACAAACCCGGAGATGTCTTTTGAAACAATTCAAAGCGAGTTGCAAATAGAAGAAGCCGATGTTGAAAGTTTTATTATTGATGGTAATTTAAAATCTTCAATTTTATTTTATAATCATTGATCCCAATGCAAAGTATTTTTTTTTTATTTTTTCTTAAATAAAAAATAAGAAATTGGCAGTGGGAATATTAAAAGAATTAATACTGGCTTGATAATGTATTTAATTTATTAAGTTATCGAATTATTCGACAATAAAAAAAAAAAATTGTATTTTTTATAAATTTATAATTTATTAAAATTCAATTAAAAAAAAATTTTGCAGTTTTGAAGACAAAATTAGTACGCGCACGTATGGACCAAGCAAACCGCAAAGTACTAATTTCAAGCACGATGCACCGGACCTTCGGTCGTCCTCAATGGATGCAATTGCGTGATTTGTTATCCGCCTGGAAGACCAATTTGACCAGCGTACAAGAAGGAATGAAGTCTGTTGCAAGTGCGCAAATTGAACTTGCTTCAAAAGCTCAGCCCGCTGTTGCTCATTAATTAATTAATTAATTTTATTTTTTTTTATTAAATTAAATTAAACACGGGCTTAAATTTGATAACATTATTGATTGTATTAATTACCAGCAATTTGATAAAATAATTATTAATTATAACAGAATTGTGTAAAATTTTTTTTTTTTTCAATAAAAATCTTTTGTAAGAAAATTTTATTTTAATTTTTTATGATATTAAAGTTAGGTAGCTGTCACTTGAACATTTATTAATTTTATTCAACAAAAACTTATTTTTTAAAAATTACTTTTTTAATTTTTGAAATTTTATAAATGTTTATTTTTTTTATGCAGTAATTTATTTATTAGAAAAATTATTAAATATCTGCTAAATTAATTTTCTATAATTTTTTACTAGTTAAAATTCTTTATTTTCTTTAAAAATTAATTATTATTAAATAAAATAAAATTAAAATTATTTTTCTTTCTTGCAATTATCAAAAAATCTGTTTTTTTTTAAATATTAATTTTTTAAAAAATCCAAAAAATTATTAAATATTAATAAAAATTTTTTTTAAATTATAATTTTTTAATTTAAAAAAAAAATGAATTTTTTTTATTTAAATTATTAAAGTAGTAATTAATTTTATAAAATAATTTAATTAACTTACCACTTAAAAATTTTAAATAAAATTTTTGAAAATTCCCGCGAAGCGCCTCTGGTGGGAATTTTAAAAACTAATTTAAAAAAACTACTGCGCGTGCGTCAAAATGGCGGACATCCGGATTGCGGTAGACGCGTGTTAATTTACAAAGCACAAAGAGTTTAGTGAGCACATGTCTCCATGTGCCGGAATATTTAAATTATCTTTTATAATTATAAATAATTACCAATGTGATAAATTGGTAATGTTCTAATAAATAAATATATTTTCAAGGATTAAATAATTATATATTATTTAGTTTCATTCCACGTAGAAATACAACAATCATGGTAAGTTTTTTTTCTAACCTTCAATTATTTTTTTTTTCTTTTATAAATATTTTTGTTAGTTTATTATTTACTATTTATTTACAATTGCAAATAATATTAATTTTATTGATAATTTTTCAACTAATTTTTTTCCTTCATTTTGAAAATTTGTAATTTTATTTTTCTCAAAACAAAATATTGATAAAAATTTTTTTTTTCAAACAAATTTTTTATTTTCTCTTAAATATTCATATTTCTATAATTGCGCATTATTAAAAAAACATTCACTAAGTTTTTTTTTAATTTTACAAATGAAAAGATTAATACAAAATTAATTTTTGGTTTTTCTATTTTTCTAACGAATAAAATGAGCAAAAAAAACATTTTTTTGAAATCAACACGTGTTTTTATAAGTCGCTCAAAACACTCAATATTTTTTTTTTTTTTAATTAACTTATCAAAAATTTATTCAAAAAATTATTTCTTCATGAATTGAATTTAAAAATAATTTTAAACAAAAGATAAAAAAATTTTTTTTTAACTTCTCAACTTTTTTTTTTTTTTTTTTTTCAAAAAAAATTTCCAATTGAGTTTTTATAAATATAACAATAAAATTGTCATATTGTATTTATCAAACAATATTTCACTATCATTTTTTTAATATTAAAAAATTTTTAGTTTCATTTTTTTTTTTTATTAAAAATTTCCATCTTTTATAAACTGAAGCCTTGGCTAGAAATTTTTTTATAATTCTCAACTAGATTTTTTTTTTATTAAAAAAAAAATTCCATCAGTTTTTATCAATAAAATTTTCATTTTATATTTATCAAACAATATTTCATTATCACTTTTTTAATATTAAAAATTTTTTTTCATAGATTACAATTTTTTTTTTTTATAAACATTAATCCAATTTTTTTTTAAATGTCAGAAAAAAATTTTATTTTATTTTTTTAATTGCTTTATCAAATTTTTTCTTCTAATAATTCGTTCTTTGATATAACCGTTCACTAAAAAAATTAGAACAAAATAAAATTTAATAATCAAAAAAGATTTTAAGTATTATTTTAATTATAAATATACATTTTATAATGATTATTTTTATATTTACAAAATATTGAATGACTAAAGTACTTTAAACACTTGACAGATTTAATTTTGAGGTTAAGAAGTTAGTATTATAAATATACGGTCATTAATTGGATTGTGATAAAATCAGAAGGTCTAATAAATGACCGAATGAATTTTTTACTGGGTAAAAGGCTTCTGACGGATCCAATAGTTGACCGGTCTTAAAATAATATTGAAACTTATAATTTAACTTTATTTTTTCAAAAAAGTTGGAATTTGATCTTTAATTAACATAATAAAACTAAAATATTTTATATTATGCCGATAAATATCACTAAATTAATAATGAAATGCACTCACTCTCTAATTGTACGCTAGTTATTTTTGACCGCTTTATGGCTGGTTGCGTTGTAAACAAACTCAGAATATTTTTTTAAAACTATAATCACTGCTCAATTAATTGCGTAATTTTTTATTACTATGATTAAATGCCATATTTTTTTATTTTAATACTTTAAGAAAAAAAAACCCTTGTAAAATATTAATTAATTAACTTTTTTGTTCATCGGTCAACTTATTGGTGACCGGTCAACAACTGGTGTATTTACCCTATCTGCTAATTTAATCTTTCAAAATTTTTCAACAAAATTACTTAATAATATTACAAAATAAATTAATATTATTTTTTTAAAATTCTACATTTTACACAAAATAAAAAAAAAACAACGCATTCAATAAAAATTCCCTCCTAACAACAAAAAATTATTTCAGGGTCGCCTGTACGTTCTGTACGAGCACGCAGCGGGTTACGCGTTGTTCTCAATCTCCGAATTCGAAGAAGTAGGAATGCTGCTGCCCCAAGTAGAAGCCTCAGTAACCGACCTGTCCCGTTTCAACGCGATCGTCAAGTTGGTAAGTTTCACGCCTTTCAAATCCGCCATCACCGCGTTGGAGTCAATCAACGCCATCTCTGAAGGACTGCTCCCAGAGGACCTAAAGTTATTCCTCGACACTGCCTTGCCCCCCAAAGTAGCTTCAAACATAACCTTAGGAACCGCGGACCCAAAGTTAAGCGCTTCCATCTCGGAAGCACTCTCCCTAAAATGCGACCACACTGGCGCCATCCCCGAAATTCTCCGTGGAATCCGTTTCCATTTCGCGCGCATGGTCAAAGGATTAACTCCCCAAAGCACCGCAGTGGCGCAGTTAGGTCTAGGTCACTCTTACTCCCGAGCCAAGGTTAAGTTCAATGTCAACCGTGTGGACAACATGATAATCCAGAGTATCGCTCTTTTGGACCAATTGGACAAGGACGTTAATACTTTTAGCATGCGTATCCGCGAGTGGTACTCCTACCACTTCCCAGAATTGGTTAAAATCGTCCCCGAACATTACACTTACGCGCGAGTAGCTCAATTCATTAAAAATCGCAAAGATCTAAATGCCGACAAAATGGCGGATCTTGAAGAAATTGTAATGGACAGTGCTAAGGCTCAAGCAATTCTTGACGCTTCCAAATCTTCCATGGGTATGGACATCTCCCCAATAGACTTGATAAACATTGAAATGTTTGCTGGTCGCGTAATTGCCCTTGCTGATTACCGAAAACAGCTTGCGGAGTACTTGCGCAGCAAAATGGCCGGTGTGGCGCCGAATCTTGCGACGCTTATTGGCGACCAAGTGGGCGCTAGGCTTATTGCGCATGCTGGATCGCTGACTAATCTTGCCAAGTATCCAGCTTCTACTGTTCAGATCTTAGGAGCGGAAAAAGCTCTATTTAGAGCACTGAAAACTAAAGGCAATACTCCTAAGTACGGACTACTCTTCCACTCGACCTTTATTGGGCGAGCTGGAGCTAAAAATAAAGGAAGAATCTCTAGATACCTTGCCAACAAATGCAGTATCGCTTCTAGAATTGATTGCTTCACTGACGCGCCATCTTGCGTTTTTGGCGAGAAACTTAGGCAGCAAGTTGAAGACAGGCTTAAGTTTTATGAAACCGGCGATGTTCCCAAGAAGAACATTGAGGTTATGAAGGAAGCTTTGGCTGAAGCGGCCCTTGCTATTGAAGCGGAGGTTAATGGAAATGGAGAAGTAGAAGGAGAAAAGAAGAAGAAAAAGAAGAATAAGAAGAGGAAGGCTGAAGAGGCGGATATTGGTCAAGAGGAGGCAGTTAATGGAGAGGAAAATGGCGTTGGGAAAGAAAATGGCGAGAAGAAGAAAAAGAAGAAGAAGAAGAAGAGTGAGGCGGAGTAATTTTTAAGGTTTAAAAATAATAAATCTTTTACCAGCACCAAATGAGTGTTTAATTAAAATATATAAAGTTAACATTTGTAACCATTAATTATAAACAAAAAAAGTTTTTTTTTTTAGTCTTAGGGACTAATAATTGCTTAATATTTTTAATATCAATGTACAACTATAATTATCCATTATTAAATGCAGAAATTATTAAGTATGTACATTTTAAGGTGGTACAATAAAGAATTTAATTAAATAATCCTGCTTAAATTAATTAACAATTTTAATTATGGTTAACTTTTTGTTTTTACTCAACTGATACATGGAAAGAACAAAATGATACTGAATATCCTAGATTATATTAAATGAAAAAAAATTCAGATAGCAGCTAGTATAATCCAAATTTTACTCAGTATAATCTTGGATTATACCCAGTGATATCTCCGAGATTTGTTTTTCTAATGCCTGCGCATTATGTATTTTAAATATTAGCAAAGTCAAATATTGTTTTAAATACTATATGAAATTTTTTTTTCACCATAGATGTCGCTGAGTATAATCTAGAATGATATCCAGTGTCATTTTGTTCTTTCCGTGTAAACTTAGTTTTTTTTTTATTAAATTAGTTTTTATTGCTTTGCAATTTTAAGACAATTAACAAATTAATTGACGTATGAAATATGCAGATATGTTTTTTTTTGTAGTTTTTTTTTCTTTTTTTTCCTTTTTTTTGTTAACAAGTGATGTTTTTTTCTTAGTCTATTTTACATGGTTGCTAATTAATTTTTTACAGTTATTTATATTTTTTGGAATGATTTTATAAATTTTTATTGCAATTTTTCTTATTACTGGAATGATAATTTTTGTGCTAAGCCAATTTTTTTGAGGTTAGAAGTCTTGGAACTTAAAATTAAATTTATAATTCCCGGATCACACAAATTACCTACACCAAAATAAATTTTATCTAACCTCAAGTATTAATTAAAAAAATAAAAAACATTTTTTTTTGGCTAAATTTTAGTTTAAATATTTAAAATTCTCCGTAAAATTAGTATTTAAATTTGCACTATAATTATTTAACAAAAAAACAACGTAAATTGCGCTTAGATTAGTTTTTCAGGTCTGCGCATGCGCGAAAGCTGTTCCAAATGTTCCACGGCGGAACCGAGGTAATTTTATTGTAATTTATGATTCTATAAAGGTTATTGATCATAAAAATCATTTTGTTCGATATTTTTATTCAATATTTAACCGTAAAAAGCAATAAATTGTAAATTTAAGTCTACGCATGCGCACAATTGGTTCCAAATGTTCCACAGTGGAACTTGATGAAAAAAACTACATGGGGTTGAAGTAAGTGACAAGTAGAAAGGTATGGACCATGATTTAATAATTTTCTAGACATTTTAATTGAATTAAAGTAGAAAAATTAATTATCGGCCATTTTGTCGCAAATAAAAATACTAATTTCACGTGAAAAAAAATTATAGTTCATTTTTTCGGAAGCTTACAGGTATTGTCTTTTTATTATTTCTCATAATTATTAATTAATTATTATTCTTTATAAAAAAAAAAAAAACTTTTATAAATTTTTTTAATGCCTTCAGACATTTTAGCTGCAAAACTTAATACTTATTTACTTAATAAAAGTTAAAAAAAAAAAATATTTCATCAAAAACAATGAAAAATTATACTCAAAGAAACGATGGAAAAGTATTTGGATTTTGTTGGGTTCCTAACGGCTGCATTCTTAAATTCGGTACTGTAAAAAATTGAAAAAAAAATAGAATCAATTAAATAAATTGGATTAATAAAAATTATATCACTTACGAGGTTGATGTTGGGGACTTGTCGATGCTAATTGATTCATAGTCGGCGCTGGACCAGATTGTTTATTTTTACTGCCCATTAAATTATCTAAATCGATTTTAAGACCAGCTCCGGCCCACGTCGAGCCAATTTGAGATGTTATCGTTGACGATTGCGATGTTATCGATTCATTCGTTCTATTGTTCATTGGTATTGGTGATAAAAATCCAGAATCATTGGTACCTGATTAATGTAATAATTTTATGGTTTAATAAATAATAATCTATATTATTAAGAGAATAAGAAAAATTCAGGATGGTCGATTTATTATGATCAGTATTTAGCCTGCATTTAAAAATTCTCTATCTCTAGATACGTAATTAAGAAATGAGCTTGTATTTTGAGAACAATTGACATTTTTTAAAGATATAAGCTCATCCCGATGTTACACTCATCAAGACCTTTCATTTGAGTATCCACATCAATTTTTCATATATTTTATATATATTATATATATGTATGTATGAAATATATATCAAAAATGCAAGTGGGTACTCAAATGAAAGGTCTTGATGAGCGTAACATCGGAATGATCTTATATCTTTGAAAATGTCAATAGTTAAAAAAGTACAGAGCAATTTAACTGATATCTTGTGAACAATTAACATTTTTAAAGATATAAGCTCATCCCGATGTTACACTCATCAAGACCTTTCATTTGAGTACCCACATCAATTTTTCATATATTTTATATATATTATATATATGTATGTATGAAATATATATCAAAAATGCAAGTGGGTACTCAAATGAAAGCTTTTGATGAGTGTAACATCAAGATGAGCTTACATCTTTAAAAACGTTCATATTTAAAAAAGTACAGAGCAATTTAACAAAACTCATTATTTAATAAAGCAAAATTTTATTTATTTGCAGTTTAAAAGTAACGGCAGTCACATAGTGACTGCAAGGATGCTAGTTATAATAATAATAATAATAATAATAATAATTATAGATACTTACACGACATAAAATTGGCACTGTTGTCAAGATTAGTAGAATTATTAAAAATATTAACATTTTGTTGTGAACTATTAAATGTATTAAATCCATCAAAATCCGATAACAAATCTGCAGTCATTCCTAAAATCAAAAATAAAAAAAAATTAGCAACTTTCTGCTAATATCAAATGCAAAGCGATCTAGATAATAATACTAAAATTAGCCGACGTTTTTAATATTTTTTTGTTTTTTTTCATTCATTAAATTATAACTATAAAATATTTTTGAAAAATTGCATGTGTAATTTTTTTAATTTTTTACATATGAATTTTTTTTTTTTATATTTTTGTAATAGTTTCTTCAATAAAAATAAATTCTAAAGATTTTTAAATGCTGGCTAACTTAATTTTCATCTCTAGATATTTAGATAATTAAACAAAGACATTTAGATAGTATTACCTCAATGCAAAATATATATTTATATATAATTGTTAAAAATACATTTTTTCTAATTATTTGACTCATTTTAAATCTTTTTTTTTTTTTTTTTTTCAAATTTAACTATTCAAAAATTTTTAGAAGCTTACATACATAATAAAAAAAATTTTTTTAATCTTTAAACCTCAATTTTTACCGAAAAATAATTTTTAATAAAACTTAATATAAATAATCTTTAAAAATAAAAAAAAATAGATACCTGTATTATTATTGCTATTTATCGTACCATTGTTCCCAAACAAATCATCCTCCTTTGGTCCCGCGGCCCAATTATCTATCGTAACAGCCGTACTAAATGCCGAAGTAAAATCCGCAAATTCATCCGCGCCATTTTCTTTTTTTTTCTCTTCCTCCTTACCATTTTTTTTATCAAAAGCTCTATTAAAATCAAAATTCAAATTTTTCCCAGTCTCAGAATTCTCTCTAGGATTAAAATCATCATCATAATCACCGGCATTATTTTGAGAATCAAAAATATCATTAAATATATTTTTACTTTTTTCGCTACTTAATTTAATATCAACATTAATAATATCTTTATCCTTTTCCTTAATCTTATCTTTATCTTTGTCCTTATTATCAAAATTAGAATCACGCCCGTAATTAGCAGCGGCGCCTAAATCAACTTTTTTTAATGGCCGCGTGCGATTGGGCGAATTCGTCGCAGGAACCGACGCAGTGGCAGTGAATTTTCTTATTTTATCCAAAGTGTCCAGCGATTCGCGGATATCTTTATTGCTACTCTCTATAGTCTTCTTCGGCGACCTTGAGTTGGCATTATCATTATCAGAATCTTCACGCTCTCCGTCGTCGGAATTGTTCGTGTCGTCGTAGTTCCGCCGGGTGTCGCCCCAATCGTTGTAAGCCGACACGGAATTGTCGGTCTTGTTGTTCGTCTGCCATTTTGGATTGTCGGACCAGCGGTCGCCGGTCGGGAAGCTCATCCCCATTGCCTCGCTAGACATTCCGACGTATTTATCCTTATTTTTTTTGGCTTTTTTACGCTCGTCCCTTAACTTGTCGTCGTCCTGGATGAACTCTATTAATTCGCGGACTTTGTGTCGCACATTTATTCCCTGGTCTTTGCCGATTTCGTCGACAAATGTGTAGTTTTCTAACGACCGAAGGTCATAGATGTGCTCACGAGAGGACGTTACTACTCGTTCGGATCCGTTGCGTACTAAGTAATTTAGTAGCAAAAGACTCTAGAAATAGAAAAAAATTTTATTCTAGATAATGGCCTTGTATCTCGTGAACTATTGACATTTTTAAAGATATAAGCTCATCTTAACCTTACACTTATCGAGACCTTTCATTTGAATACCCACATCAATTTTTTATATATTTATATATATAATATATATGTATATATGAAAAATATATAAAAAATGCAAGTGGGTACTTAAATAAAAGCTCTTGATGAGTATAACATCGGGATGAGCTTATATTTTTAAAAATGTCTATAATTAAGAAATGACTATGCTATCTTGTTCACTAATGACATTTTTAAAGATATAAGCTCATCCTGTTGTTATACTCTTCAAGACCTTTCATTTGAGTACCTACATCAATTTTTCATATATTTTATATATTATAAATATGTGTATATGAAAAATATATCAAAAATTGATGTGGGTACTCAAATGAAAGCTCTTGATGAATGTAACATTGGGATGAGCTTATATTTTAAAAAATGTCAATAATTAAGAAATGACCTAGTATTTTGTCAACTACTGACATTTTTAAAGATATAAGCTCATTCCGAAGTTACATTCAACGAGACCTTTCATTTGAGTACCCATATCAACTTTTTATATATTTTATATATTTATATATATATTATAAATATGTATATATGAAAAATATATAAAAAATTGATGTGGGTACTTAAATGAAAGCTCTTGATGAGTGTAACATCAGGATGAGCTTATATCTTTAAAAACATCAATATTTAAGAAAATACCTTGCAATTTAACAATGGTCATTATTTAATAAAGCAACATTTTATTTATCTATAGTTCACACGTCACAGCAGTCACGTAGTAACTGCATGGTTGCTAGTTTTATATAAAATATTACATCTATAATTTTTTATAGTCGTATATAATTATATGGCTTTATATCTAGTGTCATATAAAATTCTCTACGACTTTCAAACGTATAATTTTACATCTATAAAAATATATTTTTACATAACTTCCATACCGAATAAATTTATATAACTTTTGACTTAATTTACACAATTCTATTAATAATTACATAGTCTTCCATCTAAATTAATGCAGTGTAAAATTATAAAAGAGACAATATATAATTATATATTAACTTCTTACTGTTATATATAATTACATAAATTTTTTAAAAATTTTTAAGTGAATCTTTCAAGATAAAAAAAAAATTTTCCGACCAGTTAAAGAAATAAAAATGATACCTTTAACATATATCTACTGTAAGTTATTTACTTACTAAAAAAAAAAATTAAAAATAGTATACTTATATTTCGAGCATATCAATTACCTTGTACGTACGTCTCCAATTACGTTTATTTTCTTGCAACATACGTTTCCAAAGCATCGACATAACTTCAGGAAACTGTTCGTACGTAAATGTCGCCTGGGCAAGTTCTTGCATCATAGCACCTGTTTTAAAAATAAACAAAACTTTTATCATCTGGGGCTACGTACAATATTTACCAATAAATCGATACAATAAACAGGTGTTAATGATATATAATAAGGTTGTACAAACCTGTAGGGCCCCAAGCGTCGTCATTGGTAGCTTCCCGTACCTTAGCCTCTGTTTCGGTGTAATTCATCACGACGTTTGTCCTAAAAACAAAGACAAATTCAATTATGAATTATTAATTCTAAAAATATTTAGTTTGCCGGTGTAAGAGAAAATTGATTAAACTTGTAGAAAGTTTCGTAATTATGCAGGTCATAATCATAACAATGCTCCTGGTAATTAAATTCAGGGTCGGAGTTTGGATAAAATTCTGTTTTATGGAAAAATAATAAAATTTCTTGAAGGAAGAATGATTTATTTAATTCAATAAAATTGAATTAAATATTGCAAAAAATGTATTTTTAAATCTCACGAATTTTTTTCAATTGTACCAACAAATTTAAAATGCCAAAAGGAATTTACATTAGTTTTAACAATAATAAAGATCCAGAATAACAGTACCGAAGAAATGATAAATTTAATAGCAGCCATTAAGTCGGAAAAAAATAAATTGAGCGGAGAAAAAGTTTGTCGGGTGAATGTTTTTCTCGAGCCGACAAATATTTTGGTGGCCTTGGACAGTTGGCTACTGAGCCGAGAAAAAATAAAGATACTTAATAGAACAAAATGATCGAACCAACAACAATAATTGTTTGAAGGTTTAAAAAAGTGCTGGTGGAGCTTGAGAATGTTTTGTTCTCTCGGGCGTTTAACATGTTCCTCAAAAAAAAACCCGATAAATATATTTGTTGCTCTTTAAGACAGTTGTCTTGTTAAGTATCGAACAAAAGGTTCATTGAGCCTGGAAGAAATAAATTTGTCGAGCTGTTGAAAGATTTATTGAAAACAAAATGGTTGGTGTCCTTTTGCTGGGACTTTAACTCAGATATATTTATGATTAAAAGTGTTGAGCACTGTCCTTAGAGCTGTCGAAGCTCTAACCAATTCCCGAATTAGTTTTATCGGTGTCTGTTGACCTGTCAGGGAATCCGGGGCGAAACTTTGTTCGGCTGGAGACTCTGATAACCGAGAGTCAACTAAGTAACATTGTTCGCTCAAGAAAAGTCTTTGGCGAGTCAACAAATTATTATTCTTAAAGTTAATCTATACTGCTCAAGTGTCAAACAGCTCGATAATTTTCTCAAAGATTTAAATCCAAGGAAGTTAACTTATTTAAAGGAGGGCAGGTGGAAAAAAATTGTCAGACTTAAACAATGAAAAATTGATTTAATTATCCTTATCTTGAGAAGAGGTTCAAGAAAATGGCCGCTTACTATTAACCGTTAATCAACGATTTGATTAATTTACTAGCGTAAATAAATTGTTTACGCGGCTGAAGATTAAAGAGCCCCACCTGCGGAAATTAATTGTAAAAAAATTACAAGTTTCTCAAGGACAAACAAGTTTTTTAAATTAGTCAAGCTAAAGACCTTGAAATAAAACAAAATTAGTTACTATTTTTTCTTTGATTAAGAAATTAATTTATAGATTAATACTCACGCTTTATCCATTAGTTCTCGAACTTTCCACATATTCATCATAGCTCCGTTTTTTTATTAACTTCTTATCAATTATGATAACTAGCGTAATCCCCAATTACCTGGACGGAAAAAATACAATTAATAAAATAAACTGTTTCTGTCATAACTCACCACATTGGATGCAAGCTAATGATCGAGATTAAAGTGGAATTAATTATTAATGGGGAAAAAAATTGATAAACAATTAATTGAGTGATAAACAAAATGGAGTGGGGGAAAAATATCAACAATATTGTTGGTGAAAAAATGAATTAGCGGGGTGAACAAGGTAATTAATGTAAGAAAAAAAACGTTATTAGCACGCACTTGAACTTATTTGTTAGATAATATTAACTAACTGATGATAATTGGGTTTTAAATATGTGTTTCGTGTGTGAGATGTGTGTTGTAATGTGAAATTACAGTGTGACCATTTTCAGCTGATTATTTTACTCGTGTATCTTGTCCTTTACTTTTCACTTTTTTATCCTTATCTTTGGGTATGTAGCTTATGACATGTACGTGTTGTGATAGTGGAAAAGAAGAGATCAGTGGCGACATCTGTGGGAGATTTTAGGAACTAACTTTTAGACTTTATTGTTGAATACATTAATTTTGATGGACTGATGGTAAAATCAAGGATAAAATTTTTTTTTATTATATAATTAATATTATATAATGTTATAATTAATATTAATTAATTAATTATAATTAATATTTTTTTTAATATATATATTTTTTAGAAAAAAATTCAGTCGAATTTTTTATTATGTAAAAATTATTATTAAGATTAAAGTAAAAATTTTTAAAATAAATATTATTCATTGATATACCTAATAGACTTTAATTTTATTAAATTAATTATAAAAGTTTGAGGAATTTTTATTATTAAATTTATCTAATGTATATTATTATGAAATTTCATATAAATTTATAAAAAAATATAAAATTTTATAAAAATCTACCAAATTACATAATAATTTATAAAATATAAATTAAAAAAAAAATTAATATTATTTAATAATATACCAGGACTTAAATTTTATAAAATTGTTATTAGGACTTGTAAAAATTACAAATTGTATTAATTTATATATTTTTAATTAAATTTCAATATAATTTTATAAAAATGTTAAATTTATTATTCTTAAAAATATAATTTAATCAAAGAATAATAAATATAATAATTTAATAAAATTTTTGAAATTCAAATTTTCCCGCTAAAAATTATTTACCTCTAGCGCTCCAATGAGCGCACCTAGAACTAAAAACTAGACCCGCGAAAAATGTTCATTACATTTTTTAACATAGATGTCACTGTAACATACTTGTATTCAATTTACATACAAGTGAACAGTATGTAAAATGAAAAAATGTAAATATGGAAGTATTAGTACACTTTCTAATTTCATAATTACAATAATATTTTTTATAAAAATATTTTTTATAATTTTACTCTTTTTTAACAATATTGTTTTTAAATTTTTATTAAAACTCACCAAAAATAATCTTTTAAAATAATTTTAATAATAATTTTACTAATAGTAATAATAACAATAATTGACTAAAATTCAAAAATTAGTGACAGTAACCTTAAATTTTTGAAAAATTTTTTATAATTATAAATTAATTAATCAAGTAAGTATTAGATCTATAAAAAATATTTTTTTTTAATAAAAAAAATGAATGTAAATTTTTTACAGGTAAACAATTTAATAAATAAATTAAAAATTTAATTAATTTAAAGCAACAAGTGTCTGTTGATAATTTTGACATTCTTCTTTATCTTTTCAGATATATATCTCAAATTTAATGTGATATTTTATAGCTAAATTTTTGAAGTAAAATTTTAATAATTCTATTAATTACTATTATTGTAATTAATATCAAGTATAATTAGTTATTGAAAGTAATTAGTTTTTTTATAAATTAGGTTAGTATTTAAAGGTAAGAAAAAATTAAAAATGGGCGTTGTTCTATTCATCAATAGTTTAAATATTTTTTTTTTTTTACTTTTAATTTAATTAGTAATTTTTTTTAAAATGTAAAATTTTATAAATTTAAATTTATAAATACAAAAAATGATAAACAATTTTTTTAATTTATTTTTAATAGTCAATTTTATTGAAAAAAAAATTTTTTTAATCAATTATATTTTTTTTTGTTATTTAAAAAATTATTTTTTACTCAATTTTATTTTATAATTACATTAGAAAATTTTTAATTAATATTTAATAGTCAATTTTATTCGAAAAAAATTTTTTTTTTTTTTTTAGTTTCTTATTTTAGATACTTTTATTTATACAAATAAATTTTAATATAAAAAAAAAAATGGGAAAAGGTGAAGACTCAAATGGATCCGAGGATGGAGATTCATCAAGCGGTTCAAATAAATATAATTCATCATCGACTACTGAAGCCAGCAAAATGTTAGAAGCTGCTTTATTACAAATGGATGGAATAATATCAGGTAATTTTTTTTCCACTTACTATTTTTGTTATTATTATTATAAGAAAAAAAAAATTATTTTCGCCGACGTGATATATTTTAACATATTGATAAAAATTTATAAATAATCTCAACAGGCACATGTGCAGACACAACAGATGGATCGCATTCCTTGTGCGATTGGCGAGAGTCAGTAAAAGAAGCAACACGAGGACTGATATCGGCGATCCAAAATGCTCCTTACTTACCACCGCCTCCAGATCAAAATTCCACTGAAATTTTATTGCAATGGCTCAAACCAGTAAGTTATTTTTTTTTATTATTTGTTAAATTGCACTGTACTCTCTTAAATATTGACGTTTTTTAAAATATAAGCTCATCCTCATATTACACTCATCAAGAGCTTTCATTTGAGTACCCACATGCATTTTTGATATATTTTTCATATATACATATATATATATAATATATATTTTAAAGATATAAGCTCATCCTGATGTTCCACTGATCGAGAGCTTTCATTTGAGTACCCATATGTATTTTTGATATATTTTTCATATATACATATATATGATATATATAAATATATGACATATATAAAAAATTTATGTGGGTATTCAAATGAAAGCTCTTGATGAGTGTAACATCGGGATGAGCTTATATCTTTAAGAATGTCAATAGTTCTCAAAATACAAGATCATTTCTTAATTATGTTAGATTGCACTGTACTTTTTTAACTACTGATGTTTTTAAAAATATAAGCTCATCTCGTTTTTACACTCATCAAGAGCTTTCATTTGAGCACCCACATGTATTTTTGATATATTTTTCATATATACATATATATAATATACATAAATATATAAAATATATGAAAAATTGATGTGGGTACTCAAATGAAAGGTCTCGTTGAGTGTAACATCGGGATGAGGTTATATCTTTAAAAATGTCAATTTTTCACAAGATACAAGGTAATTTCTTAATTATGTATCTAGAGATAGAGAATTTTTTAATGCAACTTAAATACTTATAATAAATTGATTATCTACAATGATATGAAATCTTCAAAAAGCACAAATTACTCAATATGACTCCTCGAAACAAATTTTTTCTTATTCTCTTAACAATCTAGATAATTTTTCAGACCTTAATATAAAAACAAAAAATTTTTTTATTAAAAAAAAAAAATTATTTATCAAGCTACAAAATTTAAGTAACTTACATTATTGTGCAGACAGGTATTTTATAGCTAAAAATAGAAAATATTTATGATATATATTTCTCAGAATGTCGAAAGTGGTAATATAGAATAATTGTATTAAAAGAAAGAAGAGAAGAGTTGAATCAAAAGCATAAAAATTAACTAAAATGAATTAATGCGCTAGAAGGGATAAATACAGTCGGTCTATTTATAAATCAAGTCTGGATTATTTGGTGCGTGTTAATTTTAGACGAATTTCTAGCGGCACACCCGCTTAAAATCAACTCTGTTTCAGTTTCTCAGCATTCATTTAGTCGGTTGTTTAGATTTAAGTTCCTTACTGTCTTTTATTTATTTGTTTCAAATAAAAATTACTCATTGGTGATAACAAGTGATAATAAGTAGGTGATTTAATAAAATTAAGAAATTTAGGATGGAAAATTGGAACGGGAAAGATTTGCATCCGATAATTGAAGAGGAAGATAAGTCTAAAGGTTTTTTTTTTAAGAATTTTCTTTGTTGCAAGGATTGGTTTTTTTTAGGTATTGGATTTTAATTTAATAAAATTGAATTAAATATTGCAAAAAATATATTTTTAAATCTCACTAATTTTTTTTAATTGTACCAACTAATTTAAAATGCCAAAAGGTATTTACATTAGTTTTAACAATAATAAAGATCCGGAATAACAGTACCGAAGAAATGATAAATTTAATAGCAGACATTAAGTCGGAAAAAAATAAATTGAGCGGAGAAAAAGTTTATCGGGTGAATGTTTTTCTCGAGCCGACGAATATTTTGGTGGCCTTGGACAGTTGGCTACTGAGCCGAGAAAAAATAAAGATACTTAATAGAACAAAATGATCGAACCAACAACAATAATTGTTTGAAGGTTTAAAAAAGTGCTGGTGGAGCTTGAGAATGTTTTTTTCTCGGGCGTTTAACATGTTCCTCAAAAAAAAAACCCGATAAATATATTTGTTGCTCTTTAAGACAGTTGTCTTGTTAAGTATCGAACAAAAGGTTCATTGAGCCTGGAAGAAATAAATTTGTCGAGCTGTTGAAAGATTTATTGAAAACAAAATGGTTGGTGTCCTTTTGCTGGGACTTTAACTCAGATATATTTATGATTAAAAGTGTTGAGCACTGTCCTTAGAGCTGTCGAAGCTCTAACCAATTCCCGAATTAGTTTTATCGGTGTCTGTTGACCTGTCAGGGAATCCGGGGCGAAACTTTGTTCGGCTGGAGACTCTGATAACCGAGAGTCAACTAAGTAACATTGTTCGCTCAAGAAAAGTCTTTGGCGGGTCAACAAATTATTATTCTTAAAGTTAATCTATACTGCTCAAGTGTCAAACAGCTCGATAATTTTCTCAAAGATTTAAATCCAAGGAAGTTAACTTATTTAAAGGAGGGCAGGTGGAAAAAAATTGTCAGACTTAAACAATGAAAAATTGATTTTATTTATCATTAATGTTAAATAAAATTTTGAGATATTTTTGCATTAATAAAAATATTTTTTGACACATCGTAATCATAGATATATTTTCTGTCTTAATATTTCAATAAATATTTATTAATTTTATTCGTTTACAATTCACACGATAAATATCTAGGTACGCTTTCTGTTTTATTGATCAGCTGCAGTGTAAATAAAAACAACACTCAATTCTCTGGCATAGTTATCTTTTTTCTTTCATTTAAATAACTTTACAAAAATTAACTCTTTTCTATTTCTTTTTTCTTATATTATTTATTACAATAGTCATTATTTATCATTATCATTATTATTTAGTAGTTAGGTAGTGTTGGCAGTTTATTTATTTATTCATCAAAGGATTGATTCAAAATAATTGACAACAATTATAATTAAATATTAAACAATGAAAAATTTATTTTATTTATTATTATTATTAATTATTAATTTTTTTTTTAATTTATTTTTGGTAAAATTATTATTAATCTTTTAATAAAATCCAATACCTGAAAAATTTATGAGTCCTTTAATTAAATTCAAAAAAAATTCTTCATAATTTTAAATTAAATTAAAAAAATCTAGACTCAATATCAGAATCAGATAGTTCGACTATAAAAAACTGGAAGAACCACTGGCGTCGTCAACTTTATAGTCAAAACAACGCTGACGAAGATGAAGACTTCCAAGACTACGACGAAGACATAGACGAAGAATATTCCTCCCAAACTTCAACAGAGTCTCTAAAAAAGTGCGATGACTCATTCAGGTCCAGTTATTTCTCTTCGATAAAATCCGCCAAGAGCAAGAAAAAAATCACCCCTGAGTCCGTCGCTAAGGAGATAAATGCCATAAAGAGGTGCAACGGGAGTAAAACGCTTAATAAACAGTACAAGAAGAACTATAATAGTGCGCGATTGATCAACAACAGTCGCTTAATTAACCTAAACACTTGCGGGGCGAATATTGGGAACGGAGGTGCTGGTAGTAATAATTGTGCTAGTGGCTCGTTGGATAGAAGAAGAAAGCGGTTACGCAATCGCAACGAACGCGACCAACGCGCTAAATCGCAGAGTGATTTGTGTTATGAACGCGACCGCGTGACGCCGGTTCATTATTGCTCGTTACAGCAGTTTCACTGTCAGTACTCGAGTAATCCGTGTATTAATTGCTTCAATAATAATACTGAGGTATTTTTTTTGATATTGATATTTAAAGATAATTTATGGGGAAAATTGAGTAATTTACATTATTGAGAGAATAAGAAAAGTATCTTGGATACCTAATTGAGAAATGATCTTGTATCTTGAGAAATATTGACATTTTTAAAGATATAAGCTCATCCCGATGTTACACTTATCAATTAAAGCTCTTGATGAGTGTAGCTTCGGGATGAGCTTATATCTTTAAAAATATCATTAGTTGACAAGATAGCAATGTCAGTTCTTAATTATTGACATTTTTTAAGATATAAACTCATTTCGATGTTACACTCATTGAGACCTTTCATTTGAGTACCCCCATCAATTTTTCATATATTTAATATATATTATATATATATGAATATATGAAAAATATATCAAAATACATGTGGGTACTCAAATGAAAGCTCTTGATGAGTGTAGCATCGGGATGAGCTTATATTTTTAAAAATGTCAATAATTAAGAAACGACCAATTATCTTGTGAATTACTGATATTTTTGAAGATATAAGCTCATCCTGATGTTATACTTATTGAGACCTTTCATTTGAGTACCCACATCAATTTTTCATATATTTCATATATTTATATATATTATATATATGTATATATGAAAAATATATAAAAAATGCATGTGGGTACTCAAATGAAAGCTCTTGATGAATGTAACATCAGGATGAGCTTATATCTTTAAAAATGTCAATAGTTAAGATAATACAGTGCAATTTAACAAAATTAATTATTTAATAAATCAAAATTTTATTTAATTATAGTTCACAAGTCACAGCAGTCACGTAGTGTCTGCAAAGTTGCTAGTCAAATTTTTATACGTATCATAATTAATACAACATAAATTACATTATTCATCATCCAGATCCATATACTTAATTGAAAAGATTCACTTTTAAGTTATTTGTATAAAATTATTTATTTAACATTGTATATTTTTCAAATCGGCTGATATTCATTTATAATTCTTAATAATTAAAACTTTCAATTCCAAGCTTTAAAAGAATGAAAATAAATTTCTTTTATCTTCAAGGAACGATTAAGAAAATTAGAGAATGACCGCGCTGGACTCAACATGGAAGTTGCGGTTCTATCCGAACAAGTTGACGCGCAATCGAACAAAATAATGGAACTGGAACATTTACTCCAAGAAAAGAAGAATTGCCTTCGTCAATTAGATGATGCATTGCAGCAAGTGCGTACCCTAAAATTCTATAAAACCTAAAAAAAAAGAATATTTTTTTTTATAAAAAAAATCTATTTCAGGAAATTTTATCAAAAAGTGCCCTAGAGACTCAAAAATTAGAATTACTAACCTCACTTTCCGAAATGAAGTTAAAACAAGCGAGTTTGGAGCACGAAAATATGACACTGCGCAATTCCGCTTCCCTCGCTAATGTAAGAAGAATTTTTTAATTTAAAATTTTTAATAGCGAATTTTTAATATAAAAATAAATATTTAGGGAGAAAAATTCAGCCGACATACTGGGCAGTACAGCAGTTTGCCCCGTCCGCCGACAGTTCCAAAGAAAGGCGTAGCATTTGGTAAGAAATTGTCCGGAACATCGACACCCCAGTCACAATCGCAGTCTAGTTTACCGACAATTATTTACAACCCGGGTTTATTGTCGCAATCGCAAATGCAATTACAGTCCCAATCAATTTCTCCGCCGGTCAATGTCAGAGGAATCATCTCTTCACGATGTTTGTCCGCACCACATTTAGGTTATTTAAACTTGTCAATTTCAAGGAATGTTTAATGTGTTTTAACCTAATTTTTTTTTTTTTCATATATAACCCTTCGTCGAGAAAAAATCAAAAATTCAATTTTTTTTTTTCAATTGTTCGCACTAAAATTTTAAAAATGCTTTAAAGAAGAAATAAAATTTTTTTCAAAACTTTCGACGACCTACCAAGGGTTAATTAATAATTTAACAAGTCTTTGCTCTTGCATTGTTCGCACGTCGCTTATAAACCCTGACTGAAGCTATAGAAAATATTGTTAAAAAAATTTAGAAACTATTTGATTGACTCAAAATAATTTTTCCGTCCAAGTTTGTGTCTTGTACTTCTTTAACTAATTTCGAACTTCTTAACCAATTTTGAAGTGCATTGCATTTGTCCTACGCGTTTTTAACAATTTTAACCTAAAATTAATTAACAATCTATTGCGCAGCTGAAGAAGACAAGATTATAGCGAACGAATCGGTGAATTCGCCGCAAAAACAGTCTCAACGACAACACGAACAATTTTATAACAAACAAGAAGAAATCGAGTCGGTTTCGGTGATATCAAAGTCGCTCAAAGATTTGTCGATGGAAGAAGTTGAGTATTGGCTCGCGCAATTGGGGTTAGAATGCTACTCCGGCGAACTGAGGCGCTGGGGCGCCACTGGTCCTAAATTACTGGACTCCACGCCGCATCAGATTGAGAAAGAATTGGATATTAAGAATTCATTGCACAGGAAGAAATTAATGTATGCTATTGAGTGCGAACGATGTAATGGTGTTGGATTTTTGGGATCTGAAAAGGTTAGAATTTTTTTTTATAAAAAAAAAAAATTAATTATTTAATTTTTTGGTGTAGTTAAAGTTAATTATAAAAGATTAAGTTGGATTTTTAAGTTAAAAATTATTTTTTTATTAATTTTTTTAAGGAGATTCAAGTACTCTGGTGTAAAGAATGTCTATAAAAAAATAATACGTAAAAATTCTTTTGGTATCTTAAAATTAATTTTGAAATTAATTAATAACTTTTGTTGAGGAAATTTCTGATAAATTTACTCATTAAATAATTATTTACATTTAATTGACTAATAAAACAATATAGCACTCTTAATTATCGGTATACACTTGACAACACAAAAAGAGTGTCTCTAACCTTCACATTTATTTATGTTCACTGTCTAACTCTTGAATTAATTCAATGAATTAATTCTTGAATTAATTCAACAAATTAATTAATTCGTTAATTAATTCTTAAATTAATTCAACAAAAAGATTAATTCTTGAATTAATTCAATAAGTTAATTCTTGAATTAATACAATAAATTAATTGTTAAATTAATTTAATAAATTAATTCTTGAATTAATTCAATAAATTAATTTAATAAATTAATTCTTGAATTAATTCTTTAAATTCATTGAATTAATTCTTTAAATTCAATAAATTAATTCTTGAATTAATTTAACAAATTAATTAACTCGTTAATTAATTCTTAAATTAATTCAACAAATAAATTAATTCTTGAATTAATTCAATAAATTAATTCTTGAATACATTCTTGAATTAATTCAATAAATTAATTCTTGAATACATTCTTGAATTAATTCTTTAAATTCATTGAATTAATTCTTTAAAGTCAATAAATTAATTCTTGAATAAATTCAATAAATTAATTAACTCGTTAATTAATTATTAAATTAATTCAACAAATAGATTAATTCTTGAATTAATTCAATAAATTAACTGTTAAATTAATTTAATAAATTAATTCTTTAAATTCATTGAATTAGTTCTTTAAATTCATTAAATTAATTCTTTAAATTCAATAAATTAATTCTTGAATAAATTCAAAAAATTAATTCTTGAATAAATTCAAAAAATTAATTCTTCAATAAATTCAATAAATTAATTCTTGAATTAATTCAACAAATTAATTAATTCAATGAATTAATTCTTGAATTAATTCAATGAAAATAAAATTTTTTTTAAATCGTTAATTGTATTAAATTCTTAACCAAATACACAGCTGGTAAAATCGTCATTTTACATGTAAAAATTACAATTTTAAACCTAATTATTAGATTAAATATCCCGAAGACCTGTTTTTTAATTTTATTATTAATTATTAGGCTACGTAGATTAAATTTACAAATTTTCAGGAAGTTTTAAAAATTTGACTACTTCGTGTGGATCTCCTTAATTAATGAAATTTTTTTATGTACCTAAAAAATAATATTTTAGATGGACAATTCAGCAGTATTGCGTTGGCTAGACGATATAGGTCTCCCTCAACACAAAGAATCCTTTCAAAGCGCAAAAGTAGACGGCCGAGTATTGCACCGCTTGACGACAGAAGATCTGCTGAACCTCGGAGTAAATGCGCAGCTGCATGCCGCGAGCCTGCGCCGTGGAATCCAAGTTCTTCGCGAGCTGAATTTCGAGTTCGATAACCTAGAACGCAGATCATTAACCGGAGATGGCGCTGATGGCAGCAATATCGCGCTCTGGACGAACCATCGAGTAATGGAGTGGCTCAGAGTTGTCGATTTAGCGGAGTACGCGCCTAACTTAAGGGGCTCCGGCGTTCACGGGGGACTGATTGTCCATGAGGGCCGCTTTACTACCGAGTTACTGGCGGCCATTTTGAGCATCCCGCCATCTAAGACGCTTCTAAGAAGACACCTTACAACTCACTTCAATGATATCTTAGGGCGCGATGTTGTCCAGCATAAAAGGGAAATAGAGAATACGCTTGGATTTGTGCCACTTACTCTTACTGCTAGGTTAAAGGTAAGATTTTTTATAATTTTATATCAATAAAACAAATTTAAGAAAACAATTCTGCATGTAAAAATTAAAAAAAAAAATTATTAGTAGAAATGTTTTAAAGTATTTTTTAATTGTAATTAAAATTAATATGCGCGCGCAAACGCGCGCCTAAATTTGAATGTAGAATTATATATATTTTTCTAAAATTAAGGGATCACTCTGGTTCCGGCGTTCAAAAAAAAAAAAAAAGGAATTATTACTTAATTTTTTACCCAAAAATTATTATAATTATTTACCTTCAATATATAAGTAGTTATTGCACCAGCGAAGGAGATTAATGTTTATCAATAAATAAATTGGCGGACATTTAAAGAAAACAAAAAAACTAAAAATTGAAGCTTTCTTTCACAGTTTTTAGTCCTATAAAAATAGTTAAAATAAAAATGTTGCTTTATTAAATAATGACTTTTAGTAAATTGCACAGTACTTTCTTAAATATTGAAGTTTTTAAAGATATAAGTTCATCCTGATGTTACACTCATCAAGAGCTTTCATTTGAATACCCACTTGCATTTTTGATATATTTTTCATATATATATATATATAATATATATAAATATATAAAATATATGAAAAAAATGCATATGGGTACTCAAATGAAAGGTCTTCATGAGTGTAATGTCGGGGTGAGCTTATATCTTTAAAAATGTCAATAGTTCACAAAGTACAAGGTCATTTCTTAATTACGTAATATGTATAATATATATTTTAAAGATATAAGCTCATCCCGATGTTACACTTATCAAGAGCTTTCATTTGATTACCCACATACATTTTTGATATATTTTTCATATATACATATACATAACATACATAAATATATGAAATATATGAAAAATTGATGTGGGTACTCAAATGAAAGGTCTCGATGAGTGTAACCTCAGAATGAGCTTATATCCTTAAAAATGCCAATAGTTCACGAGATACAAGGTCATTTCTTAATTATGTATCTAGAGATATAGAATTTTTGAATGCAGCCTAAATACTTATCATCATAAATTAACTATCGATGAGAATAATATGAAATCTTGATAAGGCACAAATTCAAGTTAAGACCTTTGCAATGACACTAAATTTCACTAAAAAAACTAATTTTATCATTTGACTCTTAATAATATAGATTTTCATATGTATAAAAAATTAATTTTTCTATTTAAGGTCGCAAAGAAGTCACAGTTTACCTTAAAGCGAAAGAAGAGTAAAAGCGAAGTAGACTACGCGAACTTAGTCTGCCCTCTAGAGGCTTCACCACCAGGTACACCGACTTCGACTCACTCGTCAGCCACAGCGAGTCCTAATCTAAACTCGCCATCAATTTAACGCTTTACATAATAATATTTATTAATTATCGTTCATGCATAAATAAAGCATACCTAATACTTAATACATAATATATAATGTTTATTTTTTTAATTAATTTATCAGCTTACGCTTGAGTAGCCTAGCGCATCTACGATTAATTACTAACTCATCATGTAATCGACTAATTAACAGGTTAATTTTAATAAATAATTTTTACGCTTATTATTAATCATCAATTAATATATTTCTTCACGTAAAATAAAATTATTAATAATAAATATTAATTTGATTTTATTTTTTTTAGATTTGGAAATCGTTGAGCACCGGAAAATAATCGGCTGTATTTAAATGGATCATTTAAATTAATTTAATAATTAAATGGGACCAATTATTTTTTTAAAAAAATAATTTTTTTCTATTATATATCACTATATTATATAATGTTATTAATTAATTAATTATAAATGTTATACACTAGGCTATTAATGTAGATATTTATATGTATTTATATATTACTAATTGACAATAATAATAATTATTATTAATAAATTTCTGGATTTTTCATTAATCTAATTTTATTATTAACCCAATAAAATTTCTTACATTTATTAACAACTGTTACTAATAACTGAAGAAATAACAAGATTAGTACGATCAGCTGTACAGAAATTATTACTTACGCCATCTAGCTAAAAGGTGAAGAATTAATATTGTAAACTCATTCGTCAGCAGACACCGTGTTGATAAGAATTGCAAAGTAAGAGTATGAAGTTTTTACAACCTTACAAAAAAAAAATATGTTGTTAATTATAGTTCAAGTAAAAATAACAATATTGAAAGACTTTTGTTGACTTCTTGTGCTTAGATTATATTAATAATTTTAAAGAATAGCAAGTTATTGATTAATTAAAAAGTTAATGAAAATTAATAAAACAGCTCTTACCGATAAGAATGTTTGCAGAGAAAAGACAAAAAAGGCCCCAGCGGTCATTTTCATAGGAGTCAATCCTTGTGTTAAGCCGTTTAATATAAGTTGCTTAGATTTTCTAGATAAATTATCTTCCCAGCCGGATTCGTAAATACTTATCCATAATTTGTCGCTCTGGAGAAATATAAAATAAATATTTTGTTAGGTACAATTTGACAATCACAATTAAGAATAATTACCTCGATCATCAGTTGATTGCCGTAAATGCACCAATAAAATAAATGGATCGCTCCAACTGTCAACATAACAACATCTACGAAGATGTTTCTACTTTCGAACAGCGACTAAAGAAGACTATATTTAATAGAAAATATCAAGTTATCTGTAAAGAAGGTTGAAGAGATACTCACCGTAGTAAGGACGAAAAGTCCAACGCAGATGAGAAGAAAACTTGAAAGTATTTGACCAAACATCACAAAGACCAAAAAGCTATTGCAGTCGTTGAGATTGTGGATGAGCCGTCGATGGTGGATGACACAAGTTTGGAATCTCAGAAGAAATGAATCCGCTGGAACGTTAGCTTCTTCGAGAGTAAACGGGACAAAGAACTGGATTTCCTCTTGCTCTTCGGGGACTTTCAAGAATTGGTAGGCCTGGATGATGCTGTAGTTTTGCTGAGATACTGAAAGACTGGCACGGGATGTGGTCATGTCATTGCAATGACGAAAATTCGCTTGGAGGATCATCAATTGCACGTTGATCCATCGGATAAATCCTAGAAGTGATGTGTCAAAGATAAGGATCCACAGGCTGGCTAATAATAATCCGTAGCATTGACTGCTCAAAATTATTTCGAAAATTGGGCTCTGGGTTGCGTTGAATGGGTATGATCCCCGGATTGGGAATTCACGGGTGCGTAAGAATAATTTTATTGGAAGGATGCCTAGGCATAGTACGGAGATCGATGATAGGACAAATATTGTGTAGTCGAAGTTTTGGAACACCATTGCAGTTCTGATGATTGTAAGGACTCCTAAATCTAGAAATAATTGTTAGTTGGGTATCAAGTGTTTACACCGAAGAAAATTTCTACGAAATTTTCCAATAATAATTGTCGTAATGCCGGACTATACTTGTATTACCGGTAACTTTCAAATATTTTAGACGATAATTGTCCAGCGCTGCCTCTGGATCTTTCCAATAGAACTAACTAATTTTACAATAGTTTAAATTGGAATGCGTTTTGTAAATTAGTGTGAGTGTTGGCCGTGCACAGCGCTAGACTCACGAGTTTATGTAAATGCTCAAGGACATCAATAGTAGTTTACCTCGGATAGCGTAGAGGGAGAGTCGTCTGGCTACCAACTAAACAGTTCTGGGTTCGATTCCCGGACGAGAAATTCCGATTTTTTTTTTTTTTTCGGTTACTGCAAAGTTACCAATCAGTCGAACCTCCTACCTTCTCCCTCCCTAAAATTTATTCAAAAAAAACCTTGTGTCAATTTTTACAATAGTTTAATTGTAAAGTTCACTGACACATCTTGTATAATTAGCTCTATAGTATTGGACTTTTTAAGTCTGTTGGTAGTGTTATTTGTTGAATAAAATTTACAATAGTAGATCGTAAAAATTACTAAATTACAAGTATAGTCCACCGTTACTATTTTATTTAATAAAAATTACAATAGTAAAATAGTAAAAATTCCTTCTATTTTTTTTCCGTATATGATCTAAATTTGGTTCTAAATTTATAATCAACGATAACAGTAAAATAAAATTTATAAAATATTATATTCACCTGAAGAATACTTTAACAATGAAATCGGCATGTGGATATCATTAATAAGTCGTCGAAATTCATTTCGCTTAAGATAAATCACCACTGATCTGAATACCGTTATCAATAATGGAAATATGTAATTCAAATTATAAGACACTTCTTGAAAGTCGTCAATATTTATGCAAAAATCGGCAGTACTTGCTACAATAGTAAGCATTACTACAGCCCAATTGAATATTCGGACTAAAGTAACCACCATGTACTTACTAAGCGGCTCTTTGTCGATTTCGTATAACCCGAGAAGTCTGAAATATAAAACAATTCTTAGAATCAATAGCTTATTTTTGTAAGTTAATTTCTTTCAATGTACTTTGCAAAATGAAGTGTATAGTCGAGGGTTGCACGGTGTGTTACTATCGGGGATTTCTCCATATTCTTTTTTTTTTTTTCACTTGCGATAATATTTTTTTATTTCTTAGAACATTACAGAAATGATATGTGATATTATTTTCAATTAAAAGTATAGAAGAAAATAATATAATTCTATTTCGTTCTTGATTCAATTTTCTTACATTTAATATGCAATAGTTTTTTCCATGAATAATGTATCAGCAATTGTTCCAGAGTGTGAAGCTATAATTTGCTGTGTAAAGAAGGGGAGCGTGCGGAAAAATATTGCAGCCACATAAAATTCCGAGTGGTGTAAAAATTTTCAGTATTGATCAGTATACGAAAAGGTTCAAGCTTGAAGATATTCGTTCGAATATATTTCATCATATTCTAGCGTCGTAAGTGAAAAAAAAATTGTTATTAAAAATTTTTTAAGCTTAAGATCTTAAATGTGACACAATATTAAACATTTTTAAGATAATTTTGAGACATTCAATAAATAAATTAAATTTGTTTCATACCATTAATTTTAAAACATTCAATCGTATTTTCATAATTATTTTATTTTATAATTTTTATATGACCATTGTATAAGTTATTTTAATTTATTTTAACGAATGTTTTTTTTCTGGCCATTTACGCGCCAATAAAATTGGAAAATTTTCATAAAAAGTCACCTGAAGATTATTTTCAGACAACTATAAAAAAAATTTTAGTTATCAATAGAAATACTTTTAAAATTATCTCAAATTAATCTTAAAATTGTTAAACGTGAAAATATAGTCGTAAAAATGAATTCAAATATCCTGAAAAATAAAAAATATTTAGTTTCTTCGGCGAGTAACTAAAAAGAAAGTAACTGAAGGTAAGTTTATAAATTTTACTGAAAATAATTAACTGTAAGGTAAATTTTTATTTAAAAAATTACAAGAAGCTCTGGCTTACATTATGTATGTTGATAAAATTTTATTACTCACCCAACAAATTTCGTACATTATAGAAAAATATTTTACTAAGTATAGAATAAATAACAAGTTACAATCAGCTGTACAGAATTGACTACTTACGCCATCTGGCCAGCAGGCGGAGAACTGATATTGTAAACTCAGGCGTCATTAGACGCCGTATTGGTGAGAAGTGCAAAGTAAGAGTATGAAGTTTTTATAACCTTAAAAGAAGATGTTGAAATAATAGTTCCAGTATAAATAACAATATATTAAAAGACTTTTTTGACTACTTGTGCTTAGATTAATAATATTAAAGAATAGCAAGTGATTGATTAATTAAAAAGTTAATGAAAATTAATAAAACAGCTCTTACCGATAAATATGTCTGCATAGAAAAGACAAAGAACGCTCCAGCGGTAATTTTCATAGAGGAGTCAATCCTTGTGTTAAGCCGTTCAATATAAGTCGCTTAGATTTTCTAGATAAATTATTTTCCCAGCCGCATTCGTAAATACTGATCCATAATTTGTCATTCTGAAGAAATATAAAATAAATATTTTGTTGGGTACAATTGACTATTACAATTAGGAATAATTACCTCGATCATCAGTTGATCACCGTAGATGCACCAGTAAAATAAATGGACCAATCCATATCCCAACATAACGATATCTTTGAAGATGTTTCTGTTTTCGTGCAGCGACTAAAGAAGACTATATTTAATAGAAAATATCGAGTTATCTATGTAAAAAAGGTAGAAGAGATACTTACCACAACAAGGACGAAAAGTCCAACGCAGATGAGAATACAACTTGAAAATATCTGCCCAAACAACACAACGGTGAACAAGCTATTGCAGTCGTTGAGATTGTCGATGAGCCGTCGATGATGGATGACACAAGCTCGGAATCTCAGAAGAAATGAATCCGCTGGAACGTTAGCTTCTTCGAGAGTAAACGGCGCAAAGGACCGGAATTCCTCTTGCTCCTCGGGGACTTTTAAGAATTGGTAGGCCTGGATGATGTTGTAGTTTTGCTGAGATACTGAAAGACTGGCGCGGGATGTAGTGATGTCATTGCAATGACGGAAATTCGCTTGGAGGATCATCAATTGCACGTTGATCCATCGGATGAATCCTAGAAGCAATGTGTCGAAGACGAGGATCCACATGCAGGCGATTAATAATCCGTAGCATTGACTGCCCAAAATTATTTCGAAAATTGGGCTCTGGGTTACGTCGAATGGAAATGATCCCCGGACTGGGAATTCACGGGTCTTCTACTTTATTTTTGTATCAATTTTGCTATATTTAATGTGCAATAGGTTTTTCCGTGAATAATTTATCAGCAACTGTTCCAGAGTGTGAAGCTATAATATGCGGTGTAAAGAAGGGAAAGGTGCTAACGAAAATTGTAGCCACATAAAATTACAAGTGGTGTTAAAATCGTCAGTATTGATTAAAGGTTCAAGCTTGAAGACATTCGAATTTATTTTTCTATTCAATTCGAATAAAATTTTATGAACTATTATATAATTTTATAAAACTTCCCGCAAAAAAAAAAAATTTTTTCTGCTTTACTTTGTAATTTTTATATTTTTTTTTATTAATTAAATCAACAAATTAAAAATCAAGGCATTAAAGATAATGAATTCTAGACTTGTCTATCAATAATTTTAATTCCAACAAATCTATATTAACAAAGCTTCTCTTCAAAATATAAATCTGTAAGAGTAAAGTTCAGATATTACTGATCGCGCTATCTAAAAAGCCGCCGGAGAAGTAACATTGAGGAAAGAAGTAACAACAGTTAGTCATCGCTAGATGTCGTTGTGCTAAGTATTGCGAAGTACGAGTAAGATGTTCGGATAACCTGAAAAATAAAAATTTTTGTACAATAACTAAAAGAATAAGTGAGTTAATTAATTTTAATATAATTGTAATATTAATTTAATATAATTATTTACCGTAAGATAAGTTTTCATGGAAAAAATAAAAAAAGCTCCTGCTTTCATTTTCATCGGCATTAATCCTTGGATTAATCCATTTAATATTAGTCCTTTTGTTTCTTTAGAAATATTATTTTCCCATCCGCTTTGATAGATACTAACTGATAATTTGTCATTCTTAAAAAAATTTTTAATTCTTATTATACAGTTTAAAAAAAAATAAATTGATATTGTGTTATATATCTTCTAGAAAATTTATCGTCAATTTTTATTTCAGACCAAAATTTCTTTAGGAAATTGATTAAACTAAAAATCAACAGATAAACTCTCTAGGTTAGAGAAATAAATGTCATGATGCGCCATCTGTCGGAAGTTTTTAAAACTAAATTTTTTGGAAAAACTATTTACGGACACATATGACCAAATGAGGCCTTAACTAATATATAGACAATGAAACTCACCTCAACAATAATCCGATCGCCATTAGCGCACCAGTAAATCAAATGAACCAAACCTAGTGCAAACAATGTAGCAGCTCTAAAAGCATTTCTATTTTTCTCCAACGCCTGGAAATAAACCTTCAAGCCAATCGATCACATAATAAACGTCAGAATACCCACCAAAACTAGTTGGAACAATCCAACGCAGGTCAGGGTACAGCTGGTCAATATTTGTCCAAACAACACGACATTGAACAGATCATTGAATTCATTGAGATGACTAATCAGCCGGCGATGGTGCATCACGCAAGACCGGAATCTTATCACGAACGAGTCGTCCTCAACGTTGGCCTCTTCTTCAGTGAACGGAATAAAGGACCTGATCTCTTCTTGCTCCTCCGGGACTCCGAACAAGCTGAAACCCTTGATGATCTGATAGTTCCGGTCTGACATTGAAAAACTGGCTCGCCCGGTGGCAATGTCATCGCAATGCCGGAAATTCGCTTGAAGAATTACTAATTGCACGTTGATCCACCGGATAAACCCTAGAAGCGTCGTGTCGAACACGAGGACCCACAAACAGGCGACTAGCAACGCGTAACTTTGGGCGCCATAGATTATTTCGAAGTTTGGACTCACTGTTCCGTTGAAGGGGTATTCTCCTCGGACAGGAAGTTGACGTGTTTTCAGGACTAGCTTCATTGGGAGGATGTTTGTACCGACGGTTGAAGCTGCTGAGAATATGTAGGCGCCGTAGTCGCATCTTTGGAATACTAGCCCGGTGCGGATTATTGTCAATACGCCGAGGTCTGAAAAATAAATAATATTTTGCCTTATTAAATAATGAATTTTATTAAATTGAACTATACTTTCTTAATTATTGATATTTTTAAAGATATAAGCTCATCCTGATGTTACACTCATCAAGACCTTTCATTTGATTACCCACTTGCATTTTTGATATATTTTTTATACATACATGTATATCATATATATAAATATATCAATAAATATATGAAAAAAATGCATGTGGGTACTTAAATGAAAGATCTCGATGAGTGTAATGTCGGGATGAGCTTATATCATTAAAAATGGTAATAATTCACCAGATACAAGGTCATTTTTTAATTATTGATAATTTTAAAGATATAAGCTCATCTTGATGTTAAGCTCATCAAGACCTTTCATTTGAGTACCCACTTGCATTTTTGATATATTTTTCATATATACATATATATAATATATATAAATATATGAAATATATACAAAATTGATGTGGGTACTCAAATGAAAGGTCTCGATGAGTGTAACATCGGGATGAGCTTATATCATTAAAAATGTCAATAGTTAACAAGATGCAAGTTCATTTCTTAATTTTGTAAATTTGGTTAAAAAATCTGTTTTTTTTTTTTTTTCTTTTTATAAACTTCAACTGACCTGACGAATACTTTAACAACGAAATTGGTCGATGAACATCATCAATAAGCTGTCGAAATTTATTTTGTTGATAATAAATAGCCGCAGCTTTAAAATTAGTCGTTATTAACGCAAGTATAAAGCCTAGATTATAAGATACTTCAAGAATATCGTCAATGTTAATGCAGAAATCTGCAATATTAGCAGCCACCATCTGAGACACGATAATCCAATTAAACGTACGGAATATACTGAATACGATGTACTTGACCGGTGATTTATTGTCGACGTCATACAACCCGAAAAAACTGAAATTTGTGAACAACAATTCAATTATAATTTTTAATTATATTGTTGTTAATATACTTTGCTAAGCGCAATGAACAGTCGAGAGTAGAACGGTGTGTTATTATCGGTGATTTCCTCATCACTGTAATTCCCTGAAGAAAACAAAAGTGCTTTAGTTTTATTTATTGCAACTGATCAATACCCCGCAACTCTTCTACAAAATTTCTCTTGCAATTTATTTTTTTTCTATCAAACTTTTGCGCAACTGCAATTTTTTTTCTCAATGCGAAAAACGTTTTAGCAATTATCTTCAATTATAAGTATAGAACAGACTTAGTAAGAATCTTTTTTTTTTCTTTGTACTTGTTGTAGAGTCTGATAAAAGTTTTCTGCTTTTCACGAACAATGGATCGATGGTGCTGCTTCACACGCGAAGATAATTTGCATAATAAATTAACTAAACGGAAGAAATTGAAGATAATGCGTTCGAAGAAAAAAATATAACTTTGCGTGTGAAAATTATTAATATTAATCAATAGCAGACTGCGCAGTAGAAGAAAAGAAAAGTGAAATATTATTGGCGTCGTTGCTGTCAGTTCTTAATCTGACAAGCATGAATTAATTTTCCATCAAAATTTTCGTAAGTTTCAAAAGTGTTTTTATTCTTTATTAATTTTATTTTGTGTTTCAGGCTTTGAGGGAGTGGAAATTTGTGAACGAATATTGGAAGAAATTATATGCCTGACTAAAATTTAATGACTGGATTTTCAAATTAATACTCTAATTTATCTCAATAATATTTATGGATTTTTAAATTCAATTTAAATAAATAATAGTTTAAAAAAAACTAAAAACACGCTTTTTATAGAAAATCAAACTAAAAAATAGAAGATAAATTTTAATAAATTTAAATTAAGAATAGTATTAAAAATTTCAATAAATATTAATTAATAATAGTGTAAATAAAAAAAAAATTATTTTATTTTAAAAAAAGCGTGGGGTGCATGGTGTCAATAGTTCAAAATGATAATCACTCTACTCA